AGCACAAGGAGATATCTTTGTATATGAGAAAAGATCTTTTGTTCTAGTATATTCAGTATATCCATAGCTTACAAGGATCCCCTCCTTTATAATAGAGGGTCATTACTTTATTTATAACAAAAAATAATAAAATAAAGCATATAATGGAGGACCCCTGATGATTTGTCTCTTCCTCGATTCCCGCCAAGATTCTCTCTCTTGGTGCGGTTATAACGACTCTTGTCTATGAGCTCGATACTGGCTCGAACTCGTTACTGGGTCGAGCCCTTCGGTTTTGGCTTGAGTTCGACCTTCGGGGTGGGCGTGACGCATTTACGACCTCGAAGCAATGCCTTGCGGATCGATTTGGTCACGGGCTCGATAAGGTTATCGAGCCGACTCCTCGAGCAGCCTTCAGACTCGATGCTCTTTTGTACTGTCTTCGGAGCTCACTCCCAAAATCCTGCTCCGATTTCTTGCCACTCGAACTCGATCGAACGTAGGAAGACCGAAATCTATTTCGACCGTATACAGGCATATAATTGTTATTTCGATGATATGATAACACTAAAAAACTGCTATAAAGTTAAATTTGTATAGAATAAAATGATCATATAAAAAATTCATTTATTTTACTTATTGATTTCCTAGATTATTTTACTATCTTCTCTAAGAAAAGTCATACAAGTAAAATAATATTGGTGAAGACTAAAAATCAAATTTCCCTTTTTCTTTTGAGTGAAGTTAGGCGGATAGTGACAATATGCATATAACTCCAGAAGATTCCTTTGTGCGTGCTTGTGCGGGACAATCATCAAATTTTCTAAAGATAAGAAATGGGAGATGTTGGATTTAAGTCTTTAGAGTTTACAGTGAAAACGATGTTCTGATACTTCTCTGTCAAATAAGATTTGAACTTTGATTGTTGAGTATATTTATTTATATTTTCTAACTCTGTTTAACATGTAAATATTGTATGTATCTTCTAATAGATTAGTTATTTCAATTTTTCTTTATTTGCACGAGAAGTTGAGGACCTTGACTCTTGGGAAAGAGATTTTTCTTAGTTGGTTCGTGTTGTTATTTGTTGAACATGTATTCTATTTGATGAATTAATTGCGATAATATTTTGAAATATGATATTTCGAGATTAGACATGTTGGGAATTAGTGAAATATTTAAAGAGAAATATATATTTTTACATGCTGTCAAAAATAATAGTCAATAAAATTTGTATTTTTTTATATATATGATTGTAATATACATATAATATATAAATTTTATATATTTTTTGACTAACAGATGTAATTAGTTTCAATTTAAATCAGATACGTGCGCATTATTTAAATGTACGTTAAGTGGGCGGAAGCTGTGTACGATGATTTGGAAGCCCGGTCCTATGGCTGCGCCGATGTTATATGGACCGACTTGTGGTTGGCTGCTCCCTTGCCGACAATTTGTCTTTTCCTACATTGGTCAAACAAAATTGGAGTACTAGTTTTACCTTTCTCCCAATATTGACATAATTTGGCTGAATGTAATGCTTAAGAAATTATAGATTTTCTTGACTCATATGATAAACATGGATAAAAAGGGCAACATGCTGAACAAAATATTCTGTGTTCACGCAAGGTCGAGGAAGGACGACAATTCTAAAGGGCGTGATATATATAGTCTATCCTAATACAAGTATTAATTGTTAATTCTGCGGCACGAACATGTGACCTATATATCATACGAAAATAACTTTACAGATGCTCTAAGGCTCCCATTCATATGATAAACATTAGAAATATTTTTGTACCAAATAGTTTATATGTGTATTTTGCTTTAACTATAAATATTATTCCCTCTGGTCCATAATAAGTGTTTTTTGGCCTTTGACACACCCTTTAAGAAAATATTAACTCCTAGAGAAAAGATTGACTAAATTATTTAATTAAAATTTGCATATTGTTAATTAACTTGACATATTCGAATTTCTAAATAAGAGAAAATTTTGGAAAAATAAAGTTAATTCCTTCTCGATTATGTAAAAGGTCACTTATTTTGGACCAAAATAAAAAGGTCAAAATATCACTTATTATGCACCGCAGGAAGTAATGTTCATGGTTCAGTTTGTTTCGACTTGTACCTTAAAAAGTCAAATCCATTATTTATAGATTAAAAAGTTGTATTATATTTCATTAGTTAGAGTTTATAAATGTTAGGTAGGAAAAAAAATGTTTTCTTTGTTGAAAATGGTTCTTTTCTTTATTTAATTGTTGAAAATGATTTTCGAAGGAAAAACAACCATAAAAGAGAAAAACGACTTTTCTCTACAAATACTCAACTAATATCACTGTTTTAATCAACATTTAAACACTATTATTATCAACTTGTAAGTGTCAAAAGTACTTCCGACACGTTTCCTTCGTACTCCGCCATCAACCTCGGAAGTACGAATACCATATTTATATAACCGAATCCTTTAATTAAATATTGAACAATGATCTAAACCTGATTTTCCAATATGAGACATATATTTTGACAAAAATATTTGCATGGATTACATTTACTGCTATTCCAAATATACCTGAATAGAATATCATAACTCTTAACATTATTCTGGATGCGAATTTAATTTCTCCGTCAAACTAGATATTTTATGTATATATTTTCTACAACTGATTTAATATTATTTGTTTGTTTTCATGCTCCGAAAAGATTGAAAATCTAATGCACTTAGTTGATATTGTGTTATTTTTTCAAAGAAAGACGGATCAATTTTCACAAAATACTTTATTTTTTCTCCTTTTTAGTGGTGCACCAATATTCTTATAATCCTAGATCCACCTGATCGAGGAGAGAATCAAGAAGTATAGATTGATCCAATAATGTGAAAAAAAAAAGAAAGAAAATAAAGTCGAGGTGGGTCCGGGCATGGAGGTCTTACAAATTTGATTAAAACTTTTAGAAATTTTTTCAGTTGGAGTCAAATAACGAGTAGATCTAGTAAATTCAGAGGAATTATTAAATAGTAAAATTTCAGAGGAAAGAAAATGACTTTTCCTCAGAGTCAATTCAGGCAAGCAGTGACCAATGCCCATAACTTTTTTGGTTAAAATGTCAATAATTTTCGTTACTCCATTGAGGAAGCAAAGACTCCTTATTTGCAGTTTTGTGCTTTGCACCGTCCATTTTATGAGTGACTGCCACATCATAGCATGTACATGTACTTGGCTATATTGTAAATTAAAAGATATATACACTCAAACTTCTTTATAACAAACTCGTTTGTTCCGAATATTTTTAGATATTATAGCGAAGTATTGAGAACATATATTATAACATAACATAAAAATTGATTCCGAAAAAGTTTGTCTTTTATAGAAAAGTGTTGTTATATAAGGATATTGTTATAGAGAGGTCTGACTGTACTACTAGTTGCTAGTGTATATTATAAGTTTAATTCTTAAAAAAAAATAACTTTTTTTTTTCTACTTCTCATACCCTGGACTAAGCCTCCGTTTGACCATAGATTTTGTAAGTTTTTTCCAATTTATTTTTGGCAAAACATGTTTGTTTATAGATTTTATCCATATTTTGGCAGGTTTTAAAAATAAATTTTTCAAATCCCAAAACTAGCTCTAGACCTGTTTTTGGCCCAAAATGTTACTGCTTGATTTTTTTAACAATTTTAAAAATTACCCCAATTTTTTGTATTTTATAAAAAAGTTCATCATCTATTATATATGACCCAACTAATCCACCAGCTAATAACTATCATTTTCTTTTGGACTGATGGATCTTGTAATATTATTGCAATTTGACAAATTATAGTGGTTAGTAATTGTGTTATTAGCAGCTGATATTAAAATATCAGGTTATAGTTTTAGGATAGTATATTGTGTAGTTCATTATAAAAATGGTAATTTTGTGCCAAACTTATCCATGTTCAGGATTATGGTTTGTGATAATGATAATGAATGGCATCGATGAAGATTCTGCATAAACAAGATTAGCAAGTTTGTTTGTTTGGTATTGTTGGGTATTTTTGATAGTTTTTAGAACTTATGGGTATATGCCACATTTCATTTTTTTAAAGTGAAATATGTTTTGAAAAATTATGTCCATACAGATTTTCATCTTCAAACCAAATTTCACCCAAATCAAATTTTTTAAAACAAGTTTGAAAACATATGGTCAAACGCTAGCTAAGCTGTTTCAACAATATTCGTTCAAGAAACTAGAAAGAAAATGAAAATTCAAAACCAATACTCCTAGTTGTTTAATTCCTAATAATAATAATAATAATAATAATAATAATAATAATCACTTGGCTTTTTCCTTGGCTCAAATAATTGTTATTCCCTTAATTTCTAGAAATACCACAAAAATTGATAACAATAATATATGGAACTCTGATATTATCTTAGAAAAACAAAGACTGAATTCAACCACTGCCCACTAAACGACAATAAGCAATTACGTATACTACGACGACCTCAAAGTAGTTGAAATGTGAACAAACGATATAAATAAAAATAAAAATAAAAAGGATCAGAACTGTGGACTTTACAGACTTGAGATAAAGGAAAAAGGATCCTTCTCAAAGTGTGGACATGTTGGAATTTTTTTCTTTTTTAATGTTCATCCTGATTTATATTAAATAAATGAATGCAATATATATTTATTTTATGTATAAATTTTTATTACCTAATTATGATTATGTGATACTTATACATCCTCTCATTTTATTTTGTGACCCTTAAATTTAAATTGCCTTATTTTATGTGTTTTTACACTGTAAACATGTAGAAATCATGTGAAATCGTAAGAATGAAATTTAGGGTTCATGTTTGGTTTGAGAGGAAACTTCGAGATACTTTCTATATCAGAAGAGAAAATATAAAATGTTCTGTACAATTGAAGACTGGGCCCAATGTATTTATATGACCCAGAACTTAATACTCTATAATACTCTAAACTGGGCTACCCGAATAAATTATAATATATGGCCCAATATAATGGGTCTAACATTAGCCTATACCCACTGGGCCTATTCTAACAGCTCCCCTCAAGTTGGAGGGTGATAAAACCCCCAACTTGCGAAGATAAAAATAGTGAGCAGGCCCAGGCAAGGCTTTTGTGAGCAGATCAACAACCTGAGCAGAGTTGGAGACATGATGCAAACTCAGCAGGCCCTCACCAAGCTTGTGTCTAACAAAATGACAATCAAGTTTAATATGTTTGGTCCGTTCATGAAACACAGGATTGCGAGCAATATGCAAAGCTGCCTGATTATCACAGAATAGAGGAACATGAGAAGAACAAGAGACACCAAAATCACCCAACAATCTAGAGACCCAAGTAACCTCTGCAACAGCCTTACTCATTGCTCTGTATTTAGCCTCAGCAGATGAAAGGGAGATAACAGACTGCTTCTTGGACTTCCAACTGATAAGGCTCCCACTAAGGAAAACACAAAACCCAGAATCAGATCTCCTACTATCAGCACAAGAAGCCCAATCACTGTCACAAAATACTCGCAAGGACAAATCAGGAGAAGAATTGAAGAATATACCATAATCAGAGGTGCCTCTCAAATATCTCAAAACATGAATAGCAGCCTGCATATGGAGAACACAAGGAAACTGCAAAAATTGACTGAGATGCTGGACTGCAAAGTTGATATCAGGTCTGGTGTGGGTTAAAAAATTCAGCTTCCTAACCAGACATCTGTAATCTTCAGGCTTATGCAGGGGGTCTCCAACCTTGGCTTTCAGTTTGACATTCAACTCAAGAGGACAAAAAGCAGGGGTACAAGAAGAAGACTGAAATGATTCTAGCATGTCATGAATGAACTTCTTTTGATGTAAAAGAACTCCAGAATCAGAATAAGAAACTTCAATCCCAAGGAAATAGTTAAGGGACACTAAGTCCTTAATTCTGAACTGCTCATGTAAGAACCCCTTTAAGGAAGAAAGTTCATGCAAATCAGCCCCTGTGAGGATGATATCATTCACATAAACAACCAGAATTACCAAGGAAGCCCCATAACCCCTAGTAAATAGAGATTAACCATTCAAAGAATGAGACTAACCTCTAGAGCATACTGCTTGGGATAATTTAACATACCATTGCCTAGAGGCCTGCCTTAGGCCTTAAAGAGACTTTAGAAGTGTCACGACCCAAAATTCACTATAGGTCGTGATAGCGCCTAACGTCGCCGTCAGGCAAACCAACGTTAATTCATCAATTTATTTACTCATTTATTACTCTCGAGATCATAATCTCCATTACTTAAATAGTATGAAATAGAATTTACAGGGTGAAATAATGATAATTACGTGAACTACCATACTAAACATCCAATAGGAACCCCCAAAACCTGGTGTCACAAGTGCATGAGCATCAACTAGGAAATATGATAAAATACAACATCTGTTTGGAATACAAATTAGACAGGAGAATGTAAATAACTCCGATGGAGACTCTGTGTGAAGCGGACTCGTAAGATGGGATGTAGCTCACCTAAGTCCCCGCAATAGCCGCGCCTCTGCGCCCACAAGACCACTAGACATATATGTACCTGCACAAACTGTGCAGCAAGTGTAGCATGAGTACGTAAAATAATGTGTATCCAGTAAGTATCTAGTCTAATCTCGAAGAAGTAGTGACGAGGGGTCGACTTCGACACTTACTATGGGCTAACAATAAAATACCAAAATTATAATTTAGCATGGATTATGTAAAATAAAGCTGAAAACTCAACAACAACAAAATAAATAAACAATTCTTTCGTTGATAGTAAATCCCAAATTAATTTTCATCATTTAACAAATTAATCTCTCAAGACAATGAAACAATATCAATTATAATTAGACTCCAAGAATTATTACGCACGAATTATGCTGAGGTCGTACGACCCGATCCAACATACCAATATATAAATTGTGCACTGCCAAGGGTCGAATGCCACGAATCATAGATGCATCTATCTGCTACCGAGGTATTTGGCCCGCTCCACGAGAAGAGAAATTACTTTATAAACAACAGATTCAAGATTATTAAGAGGCTAATATTCAAAGAAACACCAATTCTCATTAACGGTCAAGTGACCCATCCAAAACTCAAGTAAATAAAGTTTAACCTTTTACAATTCCTTTATCAAGTTCCACTATGATTTAAGCAATTAAATTAACAAGTAGGGTGTGTAAACATCGCAAGTATAACATGATTTGGGTCCTAGACTACCCGTACATAAGCATAATTAGTAGCTACGTACGGACTCTCGTCACCCCGTGCATATGCAACCCCCACAAATAGAAGCACATATTAAATCAATTCACCTATGGGATTAATTCCCCCTTACAAGGTTAGAAAATAGACTTACCTCGCTCCGAAGTTCCATAACCGGCTCCAAAGCATTTCTAACAACTAAAACCGGCGCCCGTCGCTCCAAAACTAGTAAATAAATGTGAAATTCCATGAACATATACTCTAATACTTATAATAACTCAATTTATAACAATTTTCAACTCCGCTCGAAAAATCAATAAAGTCACCCTTTGGCCCACGTGCCCGGATTCCTAAACATTTTCGAAGATAATCATTACCCATAACACTACGAACTCAAATATATGATTTATTCCCAATTTCATGTCCAATTTCGTGGTCAAAATCCAAAAATATCAATTTCTAGGTTTTCCTTCAAAATCCCAAATTTCTACAAATTCTCATGTTTAAATCCATATATAAACCTTGTATTCAACTCACAATATGAAGAAATCACTTACCTAGTGATGGGTGACGAAAACAACTACTCTAAAATCGCCCCAAGCTTGGCATCAATGGAGGATTTGAGATAAAAATGAGCAAAATCCCGTCTTTGCAACTTATACACTGCCCAGTCTGCCCCTTCTTCGCGTTCGCGAATGCCAAATGCCACTGCCCCCAAAATTCCTCTATGTGTTCGCGACCTCCTCGTTGCGTTCGCGAGGCCTCAAACCCCTGTCCCTTCGCGTTTGCGGTCCACGATCCGCGTTCGCGTTCGCGTAGGTTCCCCAGGCCCTTCTCCGCATTCGCGACCTCTGTGTCGCGTTTGCGATGAGTAAAATCAGCAGCCCAAAAATCCTTCTTTGCGAATGCGGGACTCCCTTCGCGTTCGCGAAGGACAAAACCAGAACCTGCAACAGCAGCAGCCGAAACAACCAAAATTGGTTTGAAACCACCCCGAAACACACCCGAGGCCCTCGGGACCCCGTCCAATCATACCAACCAGTCCCAATACATAACACAAACCGGCTCGGGGCCTCAAATCATATCGAACAATATCAAAACCACGAATCGCACCCCAATTCAAGCCTAATGAATTTTAGAACTTCAAACTTCTACATTAGACGCAGAAACCTATCAAATCAAGTCCGATTGGCCTCAAAATTTTCATACAGGTCATAAATTGACATTACGGACCTACTCCCCCTTTCGAAATCGGAATCCGATCCCGATATCAAAAAGTCCACTCCCGGTCAAACTTTCCAAAAACCTTCAAATTTCCAACATTCGCTAAATGACCCCGAAATGACCTACGGACCTCCAAATCCATATTCGGACGCGCTCCTAAAACCAGAATCACCATACGGAGCTATTTCCAGGCTCGGAATCCCAAACGGACATTGATAACAATAAAATACACTTCAACCCAAATTTATGAAACTCTTCCAAAATGCCAACTTTCCACAATAAGCGTTGAAACACTCCCGGGACATCCAAAACCTGATCCGGATATACGCCCAAGTCAAAAATTATCATATGAACCTGTTGGAACTTTCAAATCCTGATTTCGAGGTCTTTTACTCAAAAGTCAAACCTTAGTCAATCCTTCCAACTTAAGCTTCCGAAATGAGAATTTGCCTTCCGAATCAACTCTGAACCTCCCAAAATTCAATTTTGACCACACGTGCAAGTCATAATACCTGAAGTGTAGCTGGTCAAGGCCTCAAACCACTGAAAGACATGCTAGAGCTCAAGATGACCGGTCGGGTCATTACATTCTCCCCCACTTAAACATACGTGCTAAGAACTGCTCTAGAGTTTTTCGAAATCACTATTCAACACCTCGTGCACCTACCCGTGCCACCACAACCCCAGTTGAGCACATTCGCTCGAGCCAGTCTAAAGATCCTCCCTATTATTTAGTCAAATAAGCCTTAGTGCCAAATTATAACATCGGAAATCCTCTACCAGGCCTACTTTCAACATACGAACACCGTATCAGTCACTACACCCTGTACCAAAACATGATTGTATACCCTTACTGAATTCGCACCATGTACCGCATAATTTACATGACCATAATAACATCCTCTGACAATAATAGCCAAAATTCCACGAATCTGATGCCCACAACACACCTCATGATGCATATAAGTCCTGTTCCAACTCTTGCAATATTGCCACGATGGAAGGGATGTGTAGAAATTCATAACCACCTGCCGAATCAACGAATCATTGAGTCTCTCCTCCTGACAAGAACCATTACCTCATTCTGAACTAAATAACGATATGTGCCCTTTAATATGCCTTATATAAATCCGATCGCACTGATCCCAGGTCCAATAACCTCGTCTCACCCAGTACAAGATGCTCCGGCAATAAGCCACCGCAAACACTATCTAAGATTTCGTATGATGCCATACATGTGCCCACAAGCTACAACTGGAATATGACACATAATGAAGAACGAACTCTGGAAAATAACTATCCAGCTAACGAATAAAAAGGCCATCAAATACTATGAGCCTTTCTCAGAGGTAAGAAATAGGACACCCAAAATGAATATAAAGAATCGTGCTTAACATCTCACTGTTGCGGCATGCAACCCGATCTACATAACATACCTGTGGCGGCGTGCCACCCGATCCAAACAATATACCTATGGCAGCATGCCACCCAACCCGCACATGACAATCTAGAGAAAATACACATCAAGTCATAACGTTTATACTCACGAAATGTCCGAATATCAACCACAAGCACGCCAAGTGCCTAATACAAATCCTGGGGAGACGGATAGCGTCATACGCTACGAAACCCAAGCACAACTAAGGTGCGATAAATGGCCTGCATCTCGAGATCCATCCTGCTTATATAACACCACAAGCTACACGGGACCTCAACACATGGGCGAATAATCAAGTTGTCTCAATCCTGAACAACTCCAACAGTTCACAACCAAGGGAATAGAGCGCCTTCCAGGCACAAATTTTCACATTAATGATAGTACCGAAATTTCCATACTCGGTTCCAATTATAACCATCAAGTGACTAACATGCCACACTTATGCGATTTTTCTCGTGGAGCACTCTCCCACGACATTCAGGTTAGGTAGCAAGGTCCGCACATCCATACTGCCAACCGTACTAATTCTGTAAAGCAAATTAAGAATACGCAAATTAATACACAAAGCCTCTTACACAGAATGTCGTTCTCAGATGACAATAAAGAAAATGCCAGCTTAATCTAAGCATTTGAATTCACCCCTACTTATCCAAGCAGTGACATTCTTTTCAGCATTGAACCGCAACCTTGATTCTCAACTTTCAATTTCCGTACCACTCACTACACCTATCATGACACTACGCGATAATACACGTATTCACCATAACCCTTGAACTACTAGTGGACTAAACACTTTATTGGTCAGAAACCTTTCACTTAGTTCATTTCAGAAGAACCAATGCAACACGCAACTGAATTCCCAAACCGCAGAAAAATACAAACCTCAAGCCACGATCTAAACCGCCATGACTCTTCCGGAACTCGTTTACACAACAAGACCATTTGAATTAATTACCTCCCAAATCAACCAAGTTATGGTGGCGCTCAAGCCCAAGTGTACAACCACAAACTACATGTATAAATTCACGCTGAAGAAACTGATCGCTGCCACAATCATACTGATTCAATCATTACTAACCGATCCATCCTCTTCCAATTTATTCTCGACATGCCTTAGAAATAATAATAGCTCCATTCAAACGTAACGAACCAAATTCGCACTCGTCCCGAGTGACCCGCATTATGAGACCATATCGTCTTATTACTCATGAATCATCTCATATTATCCTTACTTATACAATAGAATCTCTAACTGGTTCACCCATTGTCACGACTCAAAATCTAACTAGTCGTGATGGCATCTAACCCAACCCGCTAGGTAAGCCAACTTTCAACTATCCAATTCCAATAACAACTATTTTAACGTAATTTAAGTGAATAAACATCTTAATCTTATACATCTCCCAAGACCTGGTAGTACAAATCATGAGCTTCTAAGAATAGAGTATACAAAGCGAAAATGAAATAAATACATAGTCTGTTTGAATAATACATAAACAGAGCTTTTATAAATCTAAGGCTACCCTGAATAAAAGGTAGCTACAACAGGAACGCAGGTACATTTTCAAGTCCCGCAACCATCGAGCACAGCAACAACAGCAGCCAACATCTGCACGCAATGTGCAAAAGTGTAGTATCAGTACAACCGACCCCATGTACTGAGTAAGTAACAAACCTAGTCGTAGGTTAAAAGTAGTGACTAGCTTCCACCAAGTCAGGTCCAAAACCAATAGTCCACAACAATCCATAACAACATAAAGCAAATAATACCAGAAATAACTCAGGGATAAAATACTCAGCCAAATAATGATTTAAAAAATTATAGTTCTTCCTTTCAAATATCTCAGTGAAAACCCAAATCGTTTGCCGAAGTTTCCAATAATATAAATAGTTTGAAAACAATAAATTTCTCCCAAAAATCTTGTTAGTAATAAATAAGATGCTTCATTTTCCTTCCGGATAACCCGTGTAAAAACAAATGCATCACTATGCCCATCTGTCAAAAATATGTGAGAAGTCATGAATGATGTGATGTTGTACAACATGAGAAAAAAATACATCTTTATGCCTGTATGTCATGTGTGCATGCCAATGCGATGCAATTCAGTGATAAAATCATAAATAGCCCCTCGGGCAGAACATCACTCATATACAGCCCCTCGGGCAACCTCACAGTTACTCGTGCCACTCGGGCATATCTCACANATACAGGCGGGCAACCCCGATCCACACTCATCCTCACAAATCAAGCCACTCGGGCATTTCAGTAAAACATGGTATTCGGCCCAAAACATTTATAGGCATCAAAATAGAGTCATAAAACTGAGTTATGATATGCAATGAAATGAATATGACTGGGTATGAATTTTTAATTTAACACAATAATTTACAATAATATGACCTATGTGGGTCCCAATAATACTGGCACATAGCCTCAACATGATTTTTAATATGCTTTTCAGCTCAATTTCTTTGACACATAAAATCGCATGGAAAATGCCACGATTATTTAACTATAAAATTCCACAGAAACAATTATGTCACAATTTCTATAGTGCACACACACACGCCCGTCACCTAGCATGTATGTCACCTCCCAACAATTCACAAAATACATATATTCAGGGTTCATACCCTCAACTCCAAGATTAGAAGAGTTACTTACCTCGAACTAGCTGAATCCAATATCGAGCAAGCTAAACGATGCTCCAGAAATTCCATTATGTGTGTATCAACTTCCAAACGGCTCGAATCTAGTAACAATTAATTTGATTTAGCCCACAAAATTTATAGAAATTAATTCCATATCAAAATACTAATATTTTCACAAAATCCGAAATTACGCCCCAAAAATCATATGTGGGGCCCACGTCTCGAAATCCGACGAAGCTCACAAAATACGACAACCCATCCAATTACAAGTTCAACCATACAAATTTCACTCAAATCCGACTCCAAATCTGTATTCAAACTTGAAAAGTTCGTTTTGTGACATTATAGAAATTTCCTTCTATTTTTCTTGAAGATTCAAAAATCTTACACCAAAAATGAAGATGAATTCATGGAATATAATCACAAGGGAGTTAAGAACACTTACCCCAAGTTGTGTGAAAATGTTCCTCTCCAAAATTGCCCAAACCGAGCTCCAAAATGTCCAAAATGAGAAAAATTCTCGAAACCCTCGTTTTTAAATACTGCCCAGGCATTTCCGCACCTGTGGTGCCTGGGCTCGCACCTGCGCATCCGCATTTGCGGAAAAGAATGCGCGCCTGCGGAAAACAGCCGGCCCTCTAAAAACTCGCATATGCGGCGATATTCTCGCATCTGCGGGCTTCGCAGATGCTCATTCCCCTTCGCACCTGCGGCCTCGCATATGCGGCAAATTCCTCGCACCTGCGAGCACTGCCCAGTCCCACTCTTGGCCGCTTCTACGGCTTATTTCACGCACATGCGGCTTCGCACTTGCGATCAAAATCTTTGCAGGTGCGATCACAACAGTAAGCAGCAGTTCCAGCATTTCCTTAAGTCCAAATTTGATCTGTTAACCGTTCGAAACTCACCCGAGGCCCCCGGGACCTCAACCAATTGTATCAACAAGTCCCATAACATAACACGGACCTACTCGAGGCCTCAAATCACACCTAACGACATCGAAACGACGAATTACTCCTCAATCCGAAATCATTGAACCTTGAAACTTCAAATTCTATAACTTACGTCGAAACACATCAAATCACGTCCAATTGACCTCACATTTTTCACACAAGTCACATTTCACATTACAGACCTATTCAAATTTCCAGATTCGGATTCCGACCCCGATATCAAAAATTCAACTCCCCGGTCAAACTTTCCAAAAATTCAACTTTCGGCAATTCACACCAAATTCCACTACGGACCTCCAAATAATTTTTCGGACACGCTCCTAAGTCCAAAATCACCATACGGAGCTATTGGAATCATCAGAATTAAATTCCGAGGTCGTTTACACATAAGTCGACATCCGATCACTATTTTAACTTAAACTTTAACCCTTGGAACTAAGTGTTCCAATTCATTCCAAAACCTCACCGGACCCGAATCAATTACCCTGGCAATTCACACAATAGCTGTAAAGTACAATTTGAGCAGTAAAGGGGGAAGCAAGGTTGTAATACTCAAAACGGCCGGTCGGGTCGTTACATTCTCCCCCACTTAAACATACGTTCGTCCTCGAACGTGCCAAGAGTTGTTTCCAAGCCATCAAATCACCGTTCCATCTTACCACACACGTACCCGGGGTGAACCCACGTCACCCTATCCCACATAGGCTTGACTACACAGTGCAACTGAAAATCATTAATTTAACCTTAGCCCATAAACCTTGGAGTTTAATTTCCAACCTTTAAAATTTCTTTCAAGACATGAATCTTACATTTACACACTGTATAAGTCCGAATAAGCTGCATCGAGCTATAACTATAACCACGGATATAATCATCCAACATATTACACAACTCGCATGCTCGTAGCACTATTCCTGATCGCAGTGACTACTCCAAAACCAACTGCATACTAGTATTAAACCCATATCGAACCAAACCTCATCCCAAAACCTTCGTACACTGTTGATAATAAAAGAAACACGCAGAATCTCGTAACCCTTTATCAGACCAACAAGTCATGGAGGTCTCTCGCCCCAACCGGAACCATAATCACTTTCTGAGCCGACTTTCAATATTATACTCCTAAATATATCGAAATTAAACCTGATAGTACCCATTCCAGGTCCAATGACCTTATATTACTAAACATAACTGCTCCACAAACATACCGCACCAATATAACTCAGAGCCACAACTCGTGCCATCCGTGCACTAATACGCAACAATTCAAATGTACCTAGTCATGGAAAATGACTCAAATGAGAGAACTGCCCCGCCAGATTAACTAGTACTTCCACAACGAAATGCTGAAAATTCATCATACACCGTAGAACCATCACCCGATTCTAACACAAGGTTCATATTATATACTCCGAGCCACCTTGCTCCAATTTAATAATGACGGAGAGGCAAATGACAAAAATACCACACAAAAACCTAAAAGGACATAACCATTACGCTATTGATCATGCAATACCCAATTACTCATCACACTCAAATTTCGCTATAAAGCTCAAATAGAACCACACCATCTGTACACATAACCAATGAATCACCACTCCTCGTAGCATAAAGGAATAACTCACAGATCACTTGAGAACACGAATAAGTTCAACATTAACCAAATGACACATCCCTCAATAATAGCAGTATGGA